AAGCCGATTACGTGTATATTCATATGCCCTAAAAGTAGGCAAAACTTTACCCTGGGATGGCCTCAAAACCCTCTGAAACATATTTCTGAACATGAACGTTTTAAACCCAATAAAGGAAAATATGCAATATCGCAAGTGCCTAGGTTCCAATCAATTCCGAAACCCTAAAACCTTAAAGCCCTTCGCCCCTAAACCCTAAAGACCTAACACCCAACGAAATCTTCTAAACATAGTCACAAAAAACAACTTCAACCCTGATCTCTAAACCCGAAACCCCTCCTAAACCCTAAGCCCTAAACCCCAACCCGCCTAAACCATAAACCCTAAACCCTAAACCCCTCCAAGCCCCCCAAAATCCGTCTCCTTCTGCTCCCCACGCTCGCGCTCCAGCTGGGCCTGGTCCGCCCTCTTCTGCTCCATCTCCGGGGAGTCGTCCTGGTTTTTTGGGGTTTAAGGGTTTAGGGTTTAGGGTTTAGAGTTTAGGGTTGAATAGGGCTCCATAGGGTATAGGGTATAGGGGTTGATTCTTGAGGGTTTCGAGGTTTAGGGTTTAAGGCTAAACCCTAAACCCTAAGCCCGAAACTCTAGTTAAAGCTCTCAAGGCCTAAAAACCCTAAACCCTAAACCCTAAACCCCCCAAAAACCCTAAACCCTAGAACCTTCGGGCTCAGGGATCAGGGGACTCCCCCAGTGCAACATGGGCCCAAGAGGGCGCTAGGGGGTCTACGTAGACCTAAATCCCAGTCCCTAAACCCGACTTTGGAGTAGATCCTGGAACAAAAATGTATATACTTGGAAGGAATAAGTAGCTATAATGAGAACCCAGAACCAAGATATTATTGAAGTATAGTACTCCCAAACCCAGTATACCCAAAAGGCCTGTGGCCTTGAGGGCTTTACAGAAGTCCTCAGCCGCGAGGGCGGTGAGGTGAAGGACTTGCTGTGGGTCCGGCTCGAAGCTGATGCGTGCCTTCAACGGGAGGGTTTAGGGTTTAGGGTTTAGGGGTTTAGGGGTTCAGGGGTTCAGGGGTTTAGGGGTTTAGGGGTCTACTAGGGGTTTAGGGTTTTAGGGGTTTATATAGCGGTTTCGGGGTTTACGGTTTAGGTGCTTAGGGTTCAGATGCTCCTGAAAAGCTGACGTAGGCCATCTACAGGTCATAGACAAGACTCCGTCTATACCAAGAGCCCTTAGACATATGCAAATCCTGAAAATGCCGGGACCCCAGACCCATAGACTCCAACACCCCTTAATTAAGGAATTTACCTTAGAATATCGTAGTATCCCTAGTATGATTTAAGGTCTATTCCTTCATTAAGGTCTTTACTGTAAATTATGGGTGGTATCCCTAGCTTAATTTAAGGAATACTCCTTCATTTAGGGATTTTGGGAGGTCTGGGGACCTCAGACCCAAATCCAAGCAAATACTCATCTGCTTAACTCTGGCAGCCCATGTGCCTGGGAATGTAGGAATCTAGGGTTCCTTCGAGGGAACAACTAGTCTAGGGTTGTATCTGTTTCACAAGGGTATGCTGACCAAGAACCAAGAGGTTTAGGGTTAAGACTTAGGGTTTCTAGGGTTTACCGAAACCCCTAAACCCTGAACCCTAGTCCCCTAAACCCCTGTACGCCTAAACCCCAAACCCTAAACCCTAAACCCCTCAACCCTGAACCCTGAACCCTGAACCTGAGACGAAACGTGGCCGGATTTATTTCACCGCGCCGCAAGAAGGCATGTGCCTCAGGTGAAATAGCTCGCCAGCTGCCCAAAGATCCCCCAAACCCTAAACCCTAAACCCTGAACCCTAAACCATAAACCATAAACCCTAAACCCTAAACCGTTGACTATAAGGAATTGACCTGAAGTCGAATTGAGGGTCGACTCCTTTTTTTAAGTGCGAGCCCCTTTAGCTTGAGGCTAGACTCCCTTAATGTACCTAGGGACATTGGGCTCACTGAGGGTTGCCGCTTCGGATGTATATGGGGTTTGACTTAGGTCATGTTCCCTCTATGGGGCTTCTTAGTTAACGATGTACCGACAAAAAGGTTAAATACACCCAATCACAATCAAGGTACATTTCCCGTTCTTGAAGGTTTAAAGGTTAGTCTAGGTCCACCCGCCTATGTAAGCATTTTGTTCTTGGCACTGCTGACAATGCCACGATTGCCATAGGTATCGCAACAGCCCCAAACCTTAAAATTGCAAGATAGGCCCTAAGCCCTAAACCCTAAACCCTTGACCCGGTAATGCTAAGAGCTGAACATGGTCCGTTTCGCTGACTTCTCGGCATTTCTGTGAGGGGGCCATGTTTAGTAGCCCGGTCGCACTCAGACAGCTGGCCACTGACCATCTGTGACATCGCACATACCTACCTGGAGTCACTTGGTAGTCCTAAACCCTAACGTCCTAAACCCTAACCCTAAACCCTAAACCCTAAACCCTGAACCCTAAACCCTAAACCCTAATCCCAAACCCGAAACCCGAAAACCATCATTTAGGTCAAGCCAACAGGCTCAGGGCATCTCAGTCCCGGAGGTCGAAATTCGTATGGGTGAACCTGGCCGGAACCCCACAAAGCCACTGCAAAGCTTACCAACCTCGTAGGGCTTAGGGCCAGGCTTTAGGGTTTACTATACGCCTCAGCACCCTAACTTACAATAGCAGTTCTAGGCCCCCCTGCCTCCCCCTCCCCCTCCTCCCACGCTTCCACTTTCTTGCCACTTGCTTCGTGTCAGAACTGAGGGATGTGCAGGGTAGTTCAGCATTTGCCGTTGGGAATTCTGCATGAACCCAAAGCCCTGGCTTATCTCCACCCTCATGGGCCCTCTATTCTTTCAGAAGCTCCGTGACGCTGCAAGCCACAAACTCCTAAGCCGCAGACATTACAGCACCTAGTAGTACCTAGATCCAAGAGCAACTCATAGGAATAAGAAGGGTACCCTTCTTGGTGGAAAGGGGCTTGCAAGGGAACCTAATGCCTAGAAAAGAGAAATAAGGCCTGCTCTGGGGTCTAGTTACCCTGGATTTCGGCCTGTTCTGGTTGAGGGTGACCCAGTCGCATTCTTGCGACATACCTGAAACATGACCTAGGGTTTAGGGTCTTAGGATCTTAGGGTCTAGGGTCTAGGATTTAGGGTTTAGGGTTTCAGGTTTAGAGTTTAGAGGAGGATTTAGGGTTTAGGGACCTACAACATCACCAAGATGCCTCAAAACCCTGAAGTACTCGGAGCCGAAAGCTCTTCTCCACCTTAAGCGCCTGCCTCTAAACTAAATTAACATTCCAACCCTAAACCCTTAACCCTAAACTGTAAACCCTAAACCCCAAACCCTTAACACTAAACCCCCGAACCCTAACCCTAAATCCTCAGTCCTTACACACCGTCATATCCTCAGACCTCAGGTTTCCTCAAGAAACTGGAGCCCCCCGTAACGCTGTAAACCCCAAATCTCAAGCCCGAAGAAGCCCCATCGACCTTACACCCCAAACCCTATAGACCTTAACTCCCGGATTGCCTCTCCCCCCCTTCCCCCCTCCCTCAAACCCTAAACCCTAAACCCTAAACCCTAGACCCTAGACCCTAGACCCTGAACCCTAAACCCTAAACCCTAAGCCCTAAGCCCTAAGCCCTAAGCCCTAAGCCCTAAGCCCTAAGCCCTAAGCCCTAAGCCCTAAGCCCTAAGCCCTAAGCCCTAAGCCCTAAGCCCTAAACCCTACTCTAAACCCTACACCCTAAACCCAAAAAACCGCTCCAAGGGTGTCTCCGAGTGGCTCCGAGGAGGAACCCACGCAGTCCCCCAGGCAAAGCGCACCGTGGGTCCAGCCCCGCGCCCTCGTTTAGGGTTTAGGGTTTATAGGTTATAGGGTTTAGGGTTTAGGGTTTAGGGTTTAGGGTTTAGGGTTCAGAAATGTTTTGGGGGCTTAATAGGGTTTCTAAAGGGTGCGTCAAGGCGCTTATCAGGGGTTTATGGGGGTATTACAGGGGGGGCTTATAAAGGGTTTTTAGGGGTGCTTCTAGGCAGGGTTTACACGGTTTCGGGTTTGGGGTTTGGGCTTTATAGTAGGGATCAAGAAAGCGAACAGGGTCCTCTCGAGGTACCGTCAAAGCCCAAGACTTATCAACCGCAACCTTGTGCGCCAAACAGCCCAGAATCATGGCCTGCATATGCGGAAAGGGAAACCTGAGCCCTAAGAACCCTAAACCCTAAACCCTAAACCCTAAACCCTAAACCCTAAACCCCAAACTTGGGGTATGATTCCAAGGACCGGGAAGGGAAACCCTAAGCCCTTAAAACGAGGTTCCCCGCTTGTATTTTGGGTACTGCTTGGGATGTTCCCCTCCTTATACGAACAGTCCTTAATAGGGATGAAAGTACCCCCCCCCCACTCCAACCCTAAACCCTAAACCCTGAACCCCAAACCCTAAACCCTAAGAACCCTGAGCCCTCCTAAACCCTGTAAACGCTCAAGTTAAGCCCAAACTCTGTACTTCAGGAAAAAAACCCTGCAAGCCCTGAAAAAGCTTTAAACCCTTCAGCCCTGAAACCCTTAAACTCTGCAACTCTTAAACCCTAGAACCCTCGAACCCTTCAACCCTTGAACCCTTACAACCTATATACCCTATAAACCCCTTATAAGCCCCTTAGAAGCCCCTGATAAGCTGCTGATAAGCCCCTTATAAACCCACTTATAACCCCGCTATGAACCTCTTATAAGCCCCTCCCTATAAGCCCTTGGAGCCAGGGGTCCCAAACCCTAAACCCTAAACCCTAAACCCTAAACCCTAAACCCTAAACCCTAAACCCTAAACCCTAAACCCTAAACCCTAAACCTAGGGCCCCAACAAGAGAAGCAGGTCGCCAGACTCCTGGACACAGCGCAGGGATCCGGGCCTTGGCTTGCCACCCCTACTTATCTTAAGACCCTGAACGGTTTAGGGTTTAAGGTTTAGGGTTTAGGGTTTAGGGTTTAGGGTTAGGGTTTAGGGTTTAGGGGTCTAGGGTTTAGGGTTTAAGGGTCAAGTCCGCACCTGTAGAGCGCACAGCAGCATCCACGTTCAGAAGTGGTCTCTGCTGAGTGCTGCACGCCCCCTTGCTGCGCTTGAGGTAGTCCTTCGGCAGCACAGGTCACTCCTACATGTACCTATACATGCCTATATTTGTGTGTATGTCTAAAACTTTATTACAACTACTATTCATATAATAACTATATAAAGCATGCATATATGTAATAATAATAATAATAATAAAATAATAATAAATAATAGTAATAATAAGAATAATAATGATAATCATTTATTTCCTCCCCAAGCAGACTACGGAGTGAATTGCAGCCAGGGATTGGGGGAGTCTAGGCTCGGTTCCCCAGGAAGTTATGACTTCTGTGGAGCTTATGACTCATGAGGGGAGCCTATGCCTCAAACCCAGAAAGTATGACCGGGGGTCCTAGCTACCCCCTTACAGTAGCCCAAAATTAACTGAGCTCGCATTCTGCAGGCCGAGCATCGTAGATGGGCTCGTGCGCCACAATCTCACGACCGGGCGGGTCCAGGAACCAAAGCTTCGTGCCATAAACCAGCGAGTTCCTTGACGCTCAGCGGTTTAGGGTTTAGGGTTTACTGTTTTAGGGTTTTAGGGTTTTCGGGCTTTGGGGTCTTAGGATTTTGGGGCTTTGGGGTCCGCCGACCCTGGCGGCGTGTTGGATGGGTGTGCGGAGGTGAAACCTCCCTCGGGGGGTACGTCGGGGGGGGGGGGGTCCCCCGGCAACTTTTCCATGGAGGAACCCGCAACCCGCACCGTGCGACTTCTCGGACCATGGGATCTGGGTGAGCGACTTGACAGACTAGATGTTGCAGTTACCTTGACAATTTCCTCCGGCGGTGCGTCCTTTTTTTAATGGTCAATCGCGGTTGCACAAGTTTATTCCATTATTCGAAGGTGTGTGTTTCCTGTTGCCGGGGGGGGGGGGGGCTCAAATCGCAGCTGAGATGGCCGCAAGCCTGTGAGTCCGTTAGCATAAGTCTGCGGGTCCTCTAGCAGCGCTCGAGCACTTATCTTGTCCTATGGCGCAAAACAGGAAAACCTGCTGCCAACCACTTAAAGCAGACCGTCGGAACCGGCATGCTGAGAGTTCTCGCGATAGATCTTTAACGGCGCTGCCTTTGGCTCCCGTCGAGGTTGCAAGGTCCGAGTGAGACAGGGTCAAAGCTTTGCAGATTTAGCCCCGCTTTGTCAAGATCAGACGGTTCACGTTGCGTGCAGCTGTGATAGAGACGCTGGTCGGAGCGAATGTCACCTGGCACGCTTTCAGCCGTGTCTGACGTTGCAGCACCGCGGTTCAGAACGTAAACATTCCACATGAACCGAGCCAGCACCACCCGTGCATCTCGGAACATCGCTGCCGCTCGGCTAAAGAGCCGAGGAGTGACTCGAAGCCAGCCACCCTCCTAACCCGAACGCACCGTGGGGCAGGCTTGCTTTAGGAGATTTTGGCTGCGGCGCTGCCTCACTTTCTGTTTTGGAAGATCTTCGGGGCCGACCAGCCTTCTTAGGACTCGAAAAGGGCTTTTGCTTCAAGGGGTAATAACCGGGTAAACATTCGAAGCTTATGACCAGGATCTCCGATGCGCAAGTCCTATAGGACCTGGGCTTCAGCGAAGCCGGAGATGGAAACTGAGAACCTCAAAGCCCCCTGTTGAAAAGTTACATCTTTCCCCCAAAACCGAAACTCCAAACTCTAAACCCTAGAAACACCCTACATGGACCTAGATACTGACAGCAAACCATTTGAACGGGCCTTAAGGTGCTTCCTATACAGGGACTTTGGGGCCTTCAACCTCGTGCCGGTGCCTCCAGAGCCTCGTAGCGGCGTGAAAGCGAACTGGCGCGTTGCCTGCGCAGGCCAAGATGTGTCACCAGCTGCGTAGGGGCATGGCTGCAAATTGGGGGGTTTAGGGTTTAGGGTTTCAGGGTTATATAGAGCTTGGGTACGTATTTCAATGTGGCAAGTGTGCGGGATTTGTAAATCCCTTTCCGCTGCAGCGCCCCTATATCTGAGCCCCAAGTAGCCCGGCACCTGCCTGGCGCTGGGGTCTTGCTCCAGCACGTAGGTCTCCAGCACCATGGCAGCAAACTTTTCTGAACCTATCAAGTCTGAAAGGAACCCCACCGCTTATTAGGATCCAAGAAACACGGCTGTCCAAGCACCGCCTGAATTGTCTTATGTAGAAAGATCAACTCAGGAGCTGTGAGCCGCAAGCTTGAGAAGGATTAGCTTCACTGCGCAGCGTGCATGCACAGACAAGCCGGGCACCTGTGTCTCGAGGACTCGAAGCATGATGCGCTCCTGTGGGCACTTCTGAAAGGCTATTGTGACTGGCTAATCCGACGTCCGTTCTCCCTAAGTTTGTAGCTTTGGAAAGCTGCAGGCTTGCCAAGAGTGGTCCTGCGCGGACTCCTCTACTACTTAACGGTTGGATTGATTGCGTCCTGCCCGTTGGCCTTGTGTGGCGGGAAAACAGAATAATTGTGTTCTCAACTGGATTTGCTGCAGGACCTCATAAGTGCTCTGCGCGCTCAATCTGGCAGGATGTACTCGGCGAAGGAAACCGTTTACTTTCAGGAGCAATTTTTCCTTGAACTTTCCATAGTCCATGGCAGCTGCGTGACAAAAACTGGTGCAACAGTCTGCCCACATCTGCTTTGTACTCGCGGGCCGCCATGCCTGAAGGACGCGCAACACTGAAGCTGCACGGCTCGCACCGACATGCGACGTGGCATTCGGCCAAGGGCTCGCTGGGTGAGGCTTCGGCAGGATGCGCTGACCACTGGGAGGGCCTGATGCAATGCATTCACTGGCTTCAAATGGCTTCAGTCTCACTTCACGGACAGGACACACATATATATATATATATATGATAACACAATTTGAAATGCCACGGGCAATTTTAGATACGAGCGCAAACTATGACTCTAAGTCCCTGTACAAAGCATTAAGCCAAATGGCGGCGCAGTGACGATTTTGGCTGTACATGACTACATATGCTAGGGGGGAAAATCTCAATTTGGGGTCCCAACCCACCCCCCAACCCCGCCAACCCCCCCCCCCTCCGCCCTCGCGCCCCCACCCCCCTTTCAGCCGGAGGCCCTTAAATTTTTTAGGGTTCAGAGACTTGGACCAGGATGCCCAAGAATCCAATCGCACAGGAAAGAGTAGCCTGTTGTTCTTGGTCTAGTTGGTAGCCCAGTAGCCGGGTTGCAAAAGGGTGCCCTGGTTTTAGGGCTGGATACCTTATAAGGGAACCTTGAACCAAAGAAAGGCAAAAGGGTACCACTGGGCTACCAAGGTTTAGTTCGGTTCATAAGGGAGCCAAGCCCCACAGAGGGAAACTGAGGGTACTGCTGGGCAGGGTTTTTAGGGCTTAAAGTTTATAGGGTATCTTCAGGCTTATGGTTCGGGGTTCGGGTCTGGGGTTTAGGTTTGAAGCCCCAAGCAAATACCCCTTAAGATGCCGAACCAACGCCCGGGGCCTTGCGTTTAGGGTTTAGGGTTTAGGGTTTAGGGTTTAGGGTTTAGGGTTTAGGGTTTAGGGTTTCGGGTTTCGGGTTTACAGGTTTTAGGGTTTAGGGTGGCTTGTGGGGGCAGCGTTACGTGAGGGCTTTGGGTTTAGGCCTGGGGCACCTGGCTACAGATTGCCGGTGCTGCTTATGACCCTATTGTCCAGAACTTAAGGGGAACCAAAGGTTAACCTTTGGGATTCTAAGGGGATTATCTTACCCCAAAACGGTGAAAGGTTATCTACTCTACAACTAATTGACAAGATTGGAACTTGAAAACGCAAAAACCCGTAGGCTGTCTTGGCCCGCACCGCCCCGAAGGATGTCGAAACCTGGACCTCCTCAACGCCGCTGCTGACCCAGCTTTGTCTGGGGGGGTGGGGGGGGGCATGTTAAAGTGCGAATTCCTTGTGGACCAAATGAACCTTAAAATTGGGGGTCATATACCCTAGTTTACTAGAATTCCTATTAATTAAGGTATATGAGCCCGAAATCCTTTTAGGGTTCTTCGGTCCCCAAGGTTTTGGCGAGAGCAAGGCCTAGGAATGAAGAGGTTTTGGCTTAAAGGGGCTTTTAAACCTAAACCTCCCAGGAAAGGGAGGAAGGGCCTACTCAAGCCTAAGCCCTAAAGCACGTCAATCTGAATCCCGTGTTCCCTAAACCTCAACCTTAACTCTAAACCCTAAACCCTAAACCCTAGCCCTAAACCCCAAACACTAAACCCTAAACTCCTACTAAGTATACACCCAGGGTTCCTTTTACAGGGGCGATACAGAGCAACTAAGCTCCGAATTCCCCGGCCGTAGGAGCAAGTGGCTGTCTCTTAGCAGGGAATGAGGGAATGCGGTTTAGGGTTTATGGTTTAGGGTTTAGGGTTTAAAGTTTAGGGTTTAGGGTTTAGGGTTTAGGGTTTAGGGAATGAGGGAATGAGGTACCCTATGTAATCCCTTAAAGGGTATATAGTGTGCCCAATTCCCTCATTCCATACTAAGAAGCAGGGGACAAGTAAGTACAGCCACTCTTGCAGTTTAAAAGGGTAGTTAGGGCTTTAAGGGTTTAGGGTTTAGCATTTAGGGGTGTTACTTGGCGATTCCCTACTTCGGGGTCTTAAAGGGTTTAGGGTTTAGGGGTGTTACTTGGCGACTCCCCTATTTCGGGGTCATATAGACGCTGCCCAATAAACCTTCGAGGCGCTCCGACTTTGCTGTCAAAGGCGCGCGCTGGGGCCGTGATGATGTGGGGGCGTGCCAGACAGGACCCCACCCAGGAGGAAGACAGTTCCCTTGTGATCCACCTGCAAGGTTAGGGGGTTGTTTCGGGTTTAGGGTTAGGGGCGGTTGGAGCATCGGTGTGTAGCAGTTGAGGGGGGGACGGGGCCCAAGGGGGGCGATTCGTGCATTGCTTCTACTCGCGTCTCTGACGAAAGCCTAAACCTGAACCCTCAACTCGGATGGCGTACTCCGCTTTGGCCCTAAACCCTACACCCAAAACCCTCAACCCTACATTTAAATCCAAAACCCTAAGCCCCCTTGAAGCGCGCAGCTGGGCTGACGGCAAGAGATACTGGGACGCAAACCATATACCCGATGCCCTACTCCGAATGGAAACAGGGTTTTAGGGGGTCTTTTAGGGTTTAGGGGTTTAGGGTGTAGGGTTTTAGGGCGTGAGTCATCGGCAAGAATGACTGGCACCTCATACCCTACCACCTGGCACACCTATAGCAGAAGATCTCAAATCCTTCACCTGAACCCTACCCCCCGACACAAATAACTGCAACCTCATGCTAAACCCAAAACCTACGCCCTGAATCCTAAACGCTAGAAGCCCTAGTCCGAGTCCTGCATCCTAAGATCTACTGCAATGACACGGGCACGTCCATACGACAGGACCCAGCGCCTGCAACTGAATCGTTAGGGGTGTGGAGCTTGCTTAGGGCTTAGATTTCAGGCTTTAGGTCCCTATTATGCCAAGCAGACGCCCCCAAAAAACTCAAGCGGCTAGACAGTGAACTGAACAGACCTACAGCCAACAGGGCCTATGGCCATAATTACGGCCTTTCTTGCCTGTCACTTCTGTTTGCTCTCACAGCCCGTGCTTGTTGTGCAAAGCTCGTGGTTCTCAATGTGAGCCAGACCTGGTCCACGCGCCCCCGGATTGATTCGAACTTTGAAGCAGGCCGCGCACTCGTGGCCTTCTGCCACAGTCCGGTGACCTGCTGCGTCTTCACCCTTTCAGGGCCCACGAAAGGTGCTGGGTGACCTCCGGCAAGAGGTCCCGGTCATAAAATCTGAAGATATTCGCCCGTGTCTCAAACGGCCAGTTTTGAACTGTGGCACGGCGGTGGCCTCCAACTCGGACATGTTCCAGTCCACGTAAACAGGCACAGGCTCAGAACAAAAGAAGAACACAATTTGTATATATATATATATATATATATATACATATATATGTATAGTTCTATATATATATATATATAACTATACACATGGAATTATTGTTTAGTATTGATATCTCTCTCTCTCTCTGTAAATATACATACACATACATAGACCCTCAACCCTGGACTCAACCCCTAAACGCTAAACCCTAAACGCTAAACCCTAAACTCTAAACCCCAAACCCTAAAACCCTAAACCCTATAACCCTAAACCCTAAACCCTAAACCCGAAACCCTAAACCCTGAAGCCTAAACCCTAAACCCGTGCCCAAACCGTAAACCCTGGGCCTGCCTGCCCATTCAGCACCTCCGGCAGAACAGCAGAAAAGTTTAGGTAGACCTCGTTCACGTCGAGCGGTAGATACCCGTACTGGAGCCTTGGCGTCCCAAGTTCAGGTGGTTCTGGGTTTAGGTCTTTTTTGGACGCTTTCAGTGCCTTCGGCTTCTTGGGTTGAGTTTTTAAGTACTTTAACAAGGTTTTTGGGTTTCGGGTTTAGGGTTTAGGGTTCTGAACCCCAAACTCCTAAACCCCAAGCCCTCAACCTAAGGCTGCAACCTTGGGGAGTTTAGATAAGGGCCTCCCCCCTATTCCTATAGCCCTGAAACCCCTGAACCCCCAAACCCTGGCTTAGGGCTTAGGGTTTGGGCGTTAGGGTTTGAGGCTTAGCTTAGTCGAACCCCTAAACCCTAAACCCTAAACCCTAACCCCAAGACCCCCTGAACTCCCACACAACTTGCCCAAAGCCATCAAGTGACTTCTTCTTTGCGAAGCTCAGGTCTGCAGATCGATTGTCCATGAGCTCCAGGTACTCCCTGAAAGAAAGGGCACTAGGGTTTGGGGTTCAGGGGTTTGGGGTTCAGGGGTTTGGGGTTCGTTTAGGACTTTGGGGTAAGGGTTGAGGAATCAAACGTGAGGGAGAGTAAACATCACCCCTCCGGAAGACGCGTCGAGAGAGCACCACCATACGCGTGGCAAAGGCTGCAGCCTTCCGCGCTCTTCTCGACGATCCCCCAACCCCTGCAAACTACCAAAGGCTCCTATGCAGTACCTTTTTGGGGTCGGATACTAGAATCCCCAAGAACCAGCCCAAAAAGGAACTACATTGGAGACTTTGGGTACAGACTAGGTTGGCCCTTGGAAGACTCTGAAAAACTATTCTAGACCCCAGGGTGGAACCTAGGAACTTGTAGGGGGACCTGAGCCCTAAACAAAATGGGATAAGGGCCTATTCCGGGTCCTAGCATTCAGGACATGATCGTCCTAAACACAATAGAAGAACTGCCAAATCTATACAGTCCCAAGAGGCTCCCTAACAAACTGGAACTCAGAATGCCTCAGCCCTACCATTTGCTTAAGAACTTCACCCCGGAAGACATGAGTAGAACTAGTCCCTACATGGCCCCCAATACGGAAGAAGATGGTTGTCTTTTTGGGGGTTCTTTGAGCAAATTGTGAAGTCCCCAGAACAGCCCATGGCTTCAAGGGTTTAGGGTTTAGGGTTTACGGTTTAGGGTTTGGGGTTTAGGGTTTAGGGTTAGGCATCGAGCCTCAAGCTCATCTTCAATGGTCTTGTGCCATCGAAGGCCTCGCAGGAGTGTAGGCTTTGGGTGTCAAGATTTGCTACTTAAGTTGGCGGGTTTCGGAGTTTTGGGGGGGCTTAGGGTTCAGGGTTCAGGGTTTAGGGCTTAGGGTTTAGGGTGCTTAGGGCTTGCGCAGTTCTAGCGGGCCAGCCAAGGAATACTTATAGGGCTTGGAGCCTGGAGATTGAGAGGATCCATGCCTATCCAACTGCGACATGTCACTGAGTTGCGAAGTCCTGAGTTGAAAGAGAGCCCTGAGCCGTAAACCCTGCAGGCTTCGGGTCTAGGGTTTAGGGGTTAAGGTTTTCGGTTTAGGGGTTTCACCCCGAAGCCCTACATCCTTCACCACATGGGGGACCCCTTCTTTGGACGATTCAGAGGCCAACCTCGTGTGATCAGCAAACGTCGGCCTTGGGAGTCTCCCCCCTATACTAAGTTTAGGGTTTAGGGTTTAGGGTTTAGGGTTTAGGGTTTAGGGTTTAGGGTTTAGGGGTTAGGGTTTAGGGTTTAGGGTTTAGGGTTTAGGGTTTAGGGTTTAGGATTTAGGGTTTAGGGTTGGGATGTTCACCCTAAACTAACACTCCTTAGTAGGGATTATGATAGGGGGTACTATAATCCCTTCTAAGGACTGCTAGTAGAAGGGGGAACATTCCCAACATCGGGCTTTAAAACGAGATAGCCAAGCCAGGGGGGCAACTTTACCTGCTAGCAGGGAATGAAAGGGGGTTTAGGGTTTAGGGTTTAGGGTTTAGGGTTTAGGGTTTAGGGTTTGGGGTTTGGGGTTTGGGGTCTAGGGTTTAGGGTTTACGGTAGGGGCATGCGGCATTGACATCTCTACGACTTGTATAGTTCCGCCAATCCATGGTAACCAACAGTACGGTTCCCCCCCCCCAAAAAAAAAAATTAAAAATGGGAATCGCGGCCGGAAATTACAGTCTGCTAGCTTTTTAGGGAAGGAGTGAGACTCAACGCGACTTCTCTACCGGATCGAACATCTCTAACCTGGCACCCCAACACCGGAAACCCTCAAACCCTGAAGCCATTTGGGCCCTAAACCCTTCAGTTTAGGGTTTAGGGTTTAGGGTTTAGGGTTTAGGGTTTATCCTACAAGCCCTGAATGCTATAACTCCAACTACATGTATAAAACCTGATCTGAGATGTCCCCACCTGCGCACGCGGGAAGAGTTCGGCTTCAACCTCTCAGTCACGCGCCACTTCGACTTTGGGCTGTTTCCAGGGGCTCAACTAACATGGGGGATTCTCTAAATAAGGGTCCCTTCAAGTTTCTTACTAGAAGGGGATCCTACGATTTGGGGATTTATCTTGGGAGGCCCCTATTTTCGTACACCCCACATGAAAAAGGCTATTGGAGGTTTGGGGCTTTGGGCTTGGCGCTAGTAGCCCAGTAACCAGAATATAATAATGGTACCCTTTGTAGTTGGTTACTTTATAAGGGAACCTTGAACCCCCAAAAAAAGGAAAAAATGGGTACCACTGGGCTACCAAGTGGAGTTTTTGTTTGACTTTTTTCGTTGGCGGCTGAAGGCTTTGGGGCCGTACTTTTTTTGGCAGGGCCGACCTAAACCTCCCAACCTTCAAGGGGAGGGTTTAGAATGTAGGGCTTGAAGACCATCCCCTAACCCCTAAAGCCTGATCTCTAAACCCTGAAACCCTAGAGCCTAAACCCTACAGAGGCCAAACCCTAAACCCTAAACCCTAAACCCGAAACCCTAAACCCTAAACCCTAGGCCCTAAACCCTAGACCCTAAACCCTAAACCCTAAACCCTAGCCCTAAACCCTAAACCCTAAACCCTAAACCCTAAACCCTAAACCCATGTCCGGCACCTTCCTCTCCCCAGCAGCGGCCAGGAGCCCAGCGCGGGTCCAGTTTCCCGCGGAAGAGGCATCCGGCTTCCCAGCTCCTGTGGCGGTAGGGTTTAGGGTTTAGGGTTTAGGGTTTAGGGTTTAGGGTTTAGGGTTTAGGGTTTGGGGTTTAGGGTTTAGGGTTTGGGGTTTGGGGTTTGGGGTTTGGGGTTTGGGGTTTGGGGTTTGGGGTTTGGCGTTTGGGGTTTGAGAGCTTTAGCCTTAGGGATTAAGGTTTCAGGGTCTAAAAAGGGCTGCATGGAACCCAGTAGGGTCTAGGGGCCTAGGGTCCGCACTTGAAGAACTCGCTTGCTAGACAATTTGGGTTTTTGGGTTTTTGGGTTTTTGGGTTTTGGGTTTGGGGTTTAGGATTCAAGCAGTAGTAAGGGAGCTATGGGTATATGGCTGGGATGCTCCCCTTATGCTAGCAGTCCTTCATAAGGCTTATAGAACCCCCTACTAGAATCCCTATCAAGGACTGTATATGCCTAGTCGTATTCTATCCTGCTGTAGAGTTTGGTATAGGGCTTTTGGATTCCGCCATTAGGGGCTGTAGGCGTTGACGGGTTCATGGTTTTGAGGTTGCAGGTTGGAGTTCAAGTCTGTGAATTGGCTGAAGGCCTCAACAAACGGCTCGCCCACAAAAGCAATCAACCGTTGTAGGAGGTACAGAGTACTTAATCTTGGGATGTTCCCCCTTCTGCTAACAGTCCTTGATGGGGATTGCAGTACCCCCTATTATAATCCCTATTATGCACAGTCAGTATACGGGGAACATCCCGAACTTTGCAATAAGTGTTGCAAACTCGGCCTCGCTAGGGCCTTCAGCCCCAGATTCGGCTGCCAGCCCAAACCCCCTGTACCACGCAAAACAAACAAGCCCAACAAAACCCTAAAGCCTAAAGCCTAAAACCTAAACCCTAAGCCCCTGGGCTGCAAAACCCTAAGCCCGGAGCCCTTCTAAAGCCCCTAAAGTAAACAGAGCCCTAAGAGCTAAGAGCTAGTGCCAGACCCCTAAGCCCCTGTTGCGAACGAGGTTACCCAGTAACCTAGGAATAAAAGCAGTGCCCTGTTTTTACTTAAAGGGTTTATAAGGGAACCTAAACCCCCAACAAAACGGGAGTAAGGGCACTACTGGGCATCTTAGCCAAACCCTAAACAACAAACCCTAAACCTCACGACCCTGAATCCTTGAACCCAAGGCTGCCAGTCCTTTGATCAGCAAAGGGCGAGGATGCAACAGGTAATGCCTGCGACAATTTGTGGCAGTATCCTAAACACTTTGACCCAACAACCCTACCCTAAACCCTAAACCCTCAACCCTTTTTATGAGCCAGCATTCACGCACCCCCCCGCCCCGGTTCATGGGTACAGGATGGTCCAGTGGTTCACGGTGGGTTAAGAGTTTCGGGTTCAGGGTTTAGGGTTTAGGGTTCAAGGTTTGGTAGATTTATGGTTTCCCCTCTCCCCCCCGTGGTTCGTGCTGGGTTTTCCGTTCAGGGTTAGAGCGGCTAGGGTTTCGGGTTTACCCTTCTCCCCCCTGTGGTTCATTGGTGGGTTTAGGTGTTAGGGCTTAGGGTTCAGGGTTTGGGGTTCAGGCTGAGGGTTTCTCTCTCCCCCCCCTGTGGTCCGTCGTGGTGTTTTGATGTTTTTAAGGGTTAACGGGCAGGGTTTGGGGGGGGCCGGGGGGGATACCATCGGGGGAGGGGGGATACCATTGGGGGGGGGATACCATTGGGGGGGGGGGGGGGGGGGTCGATTATGCGGAACGCGGGCGCATATATACCCCCCAAACCCTATGAACCCTTAAAGCCCCTTAAGCTCAAGACCCACTAGAACCCTATGAACCCTTGAAACCTACAAACCCTATAAACCTTATGAACCCTATGAACCCCAAAAACCCTGTACACCCGATAAACCCCACAAGCCCTACAATCCCTACAAACCCCTTAACACTCTACAAAGCGGGCAAGCCCTTTCAAACCCCGAAAACCCTGTAGACACCAAACACCCTAAACCCCATATAACCCTCCAAAAAACCCAAACCCTAAAAGACCAAACGCCTTCAATCCCTCATCTCTGCTTGACGATTAGATGGACCCGGCCGCGACATCAAGGAATCCTCAGCCTCTCTTTACTTCAAGGGCATAAGGGTCTAGGGTTTACGGGCTAGGGTTTTGGAGCATAAGGGTTCCGGGCGCTTTACGATCTACTGGTACTTTAGGCTTCTGCTGGTAGGGGGGGTGGGAGAGCGCATGTGTCTGCGGACAGGCCGCCTGAGAAATGTGTCGATGTCGAACCTGGGCGGCGTGTGGGAAGCTAGCATGGGTTGAGGGTTTAGGGATTAGGATCAAGAACGTATTGGGGGGCGGGGGGTGTTCCAGCTTTGGGTTTACAGTTCTCAAGGTTCAGGGATATTTCGGGGATAGAGATTTGCAGTTCTAGATTTGTTCCATAGCTTCAGGTTCACTTGGAGGCTCATGAGCCATTTTTTGAACTGACAGTGTGCGTAGGGTAGCTGCAGGTCTGGCCGGATATAACCTCACTTGGGGATGCACCATGTGAAGCTTCAAGTAGAAATTACGGCTTAGAGATCAGAAGCCCTCCACTAAACCCTAAATCCTAGAATGGAACGCATTTAGGGTTTACAAACCCCAAAGCCTAGAACCCTAATCTCTCATAACAGACCAGGAAGCTGCGAAGCAAGTATCGTGTCGATGGCGCAAGGAGCCTCGGGCCCCGGAAGCCACTCCGCCGGCACGGCGGAAAGTTCCTGGGCTTTATATAGGGGGGGTGGGGTGTAGGCTTTAGGGTTTAGGGTTGGGGTTTGGGGTTTGGGGTTTAGGGGTTCAGGGGTTTAGGGGTTTAGGGGTTTAGGGTTTAGGGTTTAGGGTTTCGGGTCAGGGTTTAGGTTTTAGGGTATAGGGGTTAGGGACAATTTAAGGTTTAGGAGTTTAGGGTCGAAGGTCTAGCGGCCTGCCTTGGAAAGCCAAACGCGCCAAAACAAGGAGCGACTGTACTAGTCTAGCCCCCATCCTCCTCTCGCGGAGTTAGGAACATCTTCAT